GGTAGTAATAGGGGACTTCAGCTACCCAGACGTCTGTTGTAAAAGTAATACCACAAAACACAAAGTGTCCAGTAAGTTGTTGGAATGTGTTAGGGACAACTTCTTATTTCAGAAGGTGGAGGAAGTAACAAGGGGGCAGCCATTTTAGACTTGATTCTGACTAAAAGGGAGGAATTGGTCACAAATCTGAAGGTAAAAGGCAATTTGGGTGAAAGTGTTCATAAAGTGATAGATTTTATTATTTTAAGGAAAGGAAAGAGTGAGAGGAGGAGAATAAGACAGTGGACTTCAAGAGAAAAAACAGACTTCATCAAACTCAGAGAACTGGTAAGTAAGGTCCCCTAGGAAGAAAATCTGAGGAAAAAGAGGAGTTCAGGAGAGCTGGTAGTTTCTCAAAGACACAATATTAAAGGCACAATTGCAAACTATCCTGATAGATAGGATAGGTGTGTAGTGCGGTCCTGCAGAGGGGTCTGTCCTGAGTCTGGTGCTAATCAGTATTTTCATCCATGACTTGGATGATGGGGTGGAGAGCACACTTATACAATTACCAGATGACACCAAGCTAGGAGGGGCTGCAAGCACTTTGCAGGACAAGATTAAAACTCAAAATGACCTTGTTGATTTCAGATCAATTCTCCAGTTTATAAAGATGAAATTCAATAAAGAAAAATGCAAAGTACTACACTTAGGAGGGAAAAATCAAATGCACAAATACAAGATGGGGAATAACTGGCTAGACAGTAGTACTGTGAAAAAGGAACTGGGTTTATAGTGGATCACAAAGTGAATAGGAGCCCACAGTGGGATGCAGTTACACAAAAGGCTAATGTCATTCTGGGGGGTGTTAACAGGAATGTCATATGTAAGACATGGGATGTAGTCGTCCCACTCGTCTCGGCACTGGTGAGGCTTCTGCTGGAGTATTGTGTCCAGTTTTGGGTGTCGCACGTCAGTAAAGATGTGGACAAATTGGAGAGTCCAGAGGAGAGCAACAAAAATGATAAATGGTTTAGAAAACATGACCTTTGAGGATAGGTTAAAAAAACAGGTATGTTTAGTCTTAAGAAAAGGAGACTGAGAGGGGACCTGATAACAGTCTTCAGATATGTATCGGGGGTAGCCGTGTTAGTCTGTAGCCACAAAAACAACAAGGAGTCTGGTGGCACCTTAAAGACTAACCAATTTATTTGGGCATAAGCTTTCGTGGGTAAAAAACCTCACTTCTTCAGATGCATCTGAAGGTTTTTTACCCACGAAAGCTTATGCCCAAATAAATCGGTTAGTCTTTAACGTGCCACCAGACTCCTTGTAGACTTCAGATATGTTAAGGGCTGCTATAAAGAGGACAGTGATCAGTTGTTCTCCATGTCTGCTGAAGGAAGGACAAAGTAATCGGCTTAATCTGCAGCAAGGGAGATTGAAGTTCGATAATAGGAAAAGTTTCTAACTATGGGAGTAGTTCAGCTCTGGAACAGGCTCCAAGGGAGGTTGTGGAATCCCCATCACTGGAGGGTTTGAAGAACAAGTGAGACAAACACCTGTCAGGGATGGTCAAGGTGCACTTAGTCCTACCTCAGCACCGATAGCTGGACTAGAACCTCTCCAAGTCCCGTCCAGCCCGACATTTCTGGGATTCAGTGATATCGAGGGGCAGAGAGTTCATCATGCTGATCACATTGCTTTACGTCTGTCCTTTTGTTGTTTAAATCAGTTGTATTTTAATTTCATAGTGTCCCCTTGTTCTTGTACTATGAGAGAGTAAATAGGTCCTGCGTATTTCCCTTCTCTAGCCCATTCTTCTGTATCCCTGGAGCATTTCCCTTTATTCTTCTCTCCATATGAAATATTTTGTTTTGTCGATCTCTCTTCCTGTGAAATTCTCCCCAGGCCTCTAGTCACTCTCATCACCACTGTCCAAACCCCCTCGGTTTCTGTTAGATCCTCTTTGTGATGGGATGGCCGGCACTGAACACACGTTCCAGGGGAGGGTGGCCCATTGATTTATATGTAAGCAGGGTTTGAATGAGCTCCCCCCGACAGCTAGCTGGGGATGGGGAAAGGCTTCAGGGCCAGACTGTATTGACATGAACACACCCACTCTGCCCAGGTATCCAGCAGACAGAGCCGTGCTGCCAAAGGGATCAGCTCTGGCTTGCGTTGGGTTAGAATCACTTTGTGTTGAATGCAGGGGAATGAAATGTTGTTCTCCTGATTGTAGGAGTAAAGGGCAGCAGATCTGTGCTTAGCCTGGCCTGTCTGAGGGGGTCGTCCTCAACTGAACTGAACTCGCCAAGCAGGGGTTTTGGGTGCCAAACCCCTGTGAAAGTAAGAGGGGGTGGGGGTCAGGTGTCTCTGCTGGGAGGGGTGGGCTCTGCCTGAGAGTCCTAGGCATGGTTCAACCTGCCCCTTGCCACTGTTCAAAGCTAGAGCTAATTAACACTCTACTAGGAATCTTTTGTTTGTTAGGTGATCACTAGATCTGCACTCACCTGTTGTGGGACAGCATTTCTGCCCAGCCTGGTTCAGCAATGCAGCTCCCGCACTAAGAGCTGACAGTCACTGGGCGCTGGGTGGAACCTCGAGAGACTGACCTACAGAGGTCACAGTAGAGAAGCAGGTGGCAGCAGAAGGGGATGGTGGCATCGGTGGCAGGGCAGCCAGCGGAACAGTGAGTGGGCAGCCGGTGGGGCAGCGAGGCTGGGGAGCAGGCGACGGAGCAGCTGGCAGAGCAGTGACTCCAGAGCAAGCGCTAGGATGGCAGAGCGAGCAAGGTGCCTTTTCTTCCCCCCAACCGCAGGATGGGAGGTGAACTCACCCAGATGCACCTCTGAAGTCTGGCTCTTCACTGACCAAGGACAACCCCTGTGAGTGGGGTGTGGTGGAGGGAGAAGGGACAGGCACGTTGAAGGAACTTTTGGAACCTGAGGCAAAGACCCTGCCCAATGCACTCTGGGGTGGGGGGTGGGGGGTTTGCTCCTGGTTTAAGGTTTATGAATCCTGCCTGCATCGTTTTCCCAAATTAATGTCCGGTGACTTCCCTTCTTTCATTCAAAATTTATTTTTTGCACTCAGACTCTGTGCGTGGGAGTGGGGAAGGACAGCCTCTTCCAGGCGCCCAGGGCTGTGTGTGTATAATTGTCCCGGGTTATTGGGTCGGAGCTTGAGCCGATTCTGTGTTGTACTGTTGAAAGGGATCTCCTGGATATTGAATCCGGCCCTGGTTGCTGTCCATGTCCCCTGGCAGAAGGGTTATCTCTATAATGCCATTGGAATAGCTCTGGTGGCATTTTCCATCCTGTTCCTCGGGCACCCTGGCACCGTTTACTGTTTGGGCAGCGACTGGACCCAGAACGGGTGTTTTCACTGAGCTCTGCACAGCGATGCCCAGGCCTTTTCTGGGGTGGGGACAGTTAATGTAGGACACTGTGATGGGTGTGAATAGCTGAAGTTTGTCCTTCTAATGGGTCCCATCATGCCCTGAAGATCTGTGTGTAGAGAGGAACCTTCTCACCTGGACCTCATCCCTCCCATGTGGAAATGGGGGGGATGAGCCAGCTCGGGGGCACTGTCCCCCTTTCCTAGGCGGACTGCAGTGGCGGGGGGGGGGGGGGAGTGTTGCAGAGATACTGCAGTGGCAGGGGAGCGGATGGGGATTTTCTCGTTTCTCCTAGTGCAGCCAGGGCTGTAAGGAGGGTCGGCAGTACCCGGGCAGGTTTGGATGCCCTCTATTTTTCCCCCAACTCAAATCCCAAACGCAAATGTTCCTCAAATAAACAGGTGCCAAATGCTTCTTTTCTCTGAAACACTATGTTGGGCCCCGGGCTCCCCCCGGGGTGACAGTTACCTGTGATGAGCGAGTCTTTGCGGCAGTCATACAGCATCCCCAGCTGGAACGGGCGGCCCAGAGCCGGCATCTCAATGGTGTCATCTGACCCGGCCATTGTTCCACTCCCAGACGCTCTCCCCTCTGTCTGACCTGCAAGAAATAACTGGGGTTACACTTACGTTTCTGGGGAGCAGATTTAGAATCGAGTCACTGGCTTCAGTCTTCAAAGTTCTTTCTGAACATTGCCCAGGTTGTAAAAGAAAGACGTATCTTCTAGTCTCCACAGGGGAGAGGAGAGGAAGAAAGTCACTCAGATTTACCTCTCCCTTTTCCCGCCTCAGATTATGAATTCTAAATGTTATGTTTCAAAGGAATTGTTCCTTTTAGCAAGAATGGGAAATAGTTATAATTTGATGCAATTTAGAGAGATGGGAGCCGCAAAGCAAAACTCCTGTTGAATTTTGCAGCTCTCATGTGCGATCCCAGAGGTGTTGAACGAATGCTGTGACATGCCAGCAAGCTGGATGTCCTGATAGGTGCTAAGCTGCAGCCCAGGAAGCCACAAATACCTGCTGCCCAATGGTTAAGAAGACACAGGCAACAGCTCTTACTTAACACAAGCCATAGCATGCCTCAGAAGCAGGGGTGGGCAAACTACGGCCCGTGGGCCGAGCCGTTTTAAGCCGGCCTGTGAGCTCCCACTGGGGAGCGGGGACAGGGGCTTGCCCCACTCTGGCGCTCCAGCCAGGGTGCCGGGTTGGGGGCCGCTCCAGCTGGGGCGTCGGGTCGGGGGCCACACCACACAGCTCCTGGAAGCAGCCGCATGGCCCCACTCCGAGGGTGGGGGCCGCTCCACATGTAGGAGTCAGAGAAGAGACATCCCCTCCTGCACCCCAACCCCAATTTTGTGAGCATTCATGGCCTGCCATACAATTTGTATCCCCAATATCGTACTCCACAATTGTAGCTGAGAGATTTCAAATGATTTAGGACATTTGTCTAGTATTAGGAATTGTCACTGATTTGTAGTTAGCAGGATGAACATGTGATTGTTAGCTTACACATGAGTAAGTCTGCGAGTCTTTCATGGAGGTCATGGAAGTAACGGATTCTGTGACTTCCCAGGACCTCCGGGACTTCTGCCCCCAGGGCTGCCCCAGCACCTGTATGCCCCCGGGGCCAGCCACACCGGCCACTGCTCCAGCGGCCCCAGGCAACTGATCCCGGGCGCTGCCACGGAGCAGCGGTCCAGGAGCAGCAGTGGCAGGGCCCCGGGCCGCCCCCCACCCGGAGCAGCAGCAGCAGTGGGGTCATGGGCCCCCCCACCCCAAGAAGCAGCAGTGACTGCCGGAGCACACACCCCCCCCAGCAGCAGCCTCCGCTGGAGCACCCCTCCTCCCCCAGCACCTAAGATTTAGGGAGGGGTATTTTTAGTAAAAGTCACGGACAGGTCACTGGTCGTGACTTTTTTTTATTGCCCTTGACCTGTCTGTGACCTTTACTAAAAATCATAGCCTTGTATATGAGTATTAAGAAAAGTATCATTAGTTGGTATTAAGCTGTGGTTTGTTTGGGGGATAATAGAACACAGGACTGGAAGGAACCTCCTGGCTTGAGTCCAGTCTTCTGATATCGTAGGCAGCCCCGTCATATCGTCCCATTCATAAACTTACCAAGCGCCTTCTTAAAACTAGTCCGTCTGCCCCCACTGTTCCTATTGGACGTCTGTTCCACAGCCTCAACCTCACTCCACTGAGGGTTAGAAAAACCCACTTTCCAACCTGAATTTACTCATGGCCAGTTCATGGCCATTTGTTCTTGTACCAACATCATCATTTGGCTTAAATAGCTCTTCACCCTCCCTCTGTAAGACCTGGGGGTCTCAAACACAGGCCTGCAACGCAGCCAACATCTCCATGCAGCTACAACCAACTTGCACTCGACTACCCCGACCCTTTGTGATCACAGACCATGGGACGTCCCGCCTCCATGGGTCTGTCAGGCAGAAGCCTCCTGGCTCTTGATTGGCTCCCTGCCCTATATAAACCCAAGTGGTGCACCAGGAAGTGTCCAGGCAGCTGTGAGGATCTCCCGTAGCTGCCATGACCGTTCCTACTCTTCAACGCCTGGCTTTGACCTTGGCTTGACAAGGACGTCACCTCCTGACCCGAACCCCCAAGCCTGACTTGGACTCTGACCCTCGGTATCAGCCCCGTCCTGGAACCTGACTACAAACTCCTCCGCTCCTCTCTGCCTCAGGTTTGACCCTGATCTGACCCTTGCTCCTGACTGCCCTTGTCTGAATCCCGGCACTCTGGTGCTCACCCTGCTGGTGTTTTATAGAGACCAGTCCCAACCCCTCCCAGCCTTTGTTTTACTAGACTACACAAGCCAAGCGCTTCCAGTCTCCTTGTAAGAGAGGCCCTTCGTTCCCCCCACGATCCAGCAGCCTTCTCTGCACCCGTCCCAGTGTGAGTTCACCTTCCTTGAACATCTCTGACGAGAATTGCACATTGTACTGTATTCTAGATGAGGTCTTACCAGTACCTTGCATTAATACTCCCCTATCTCTACAGGAAATGCCTCACTCAATACGTCTAGGATTACATTTGCCTTTTTCATAGCGTCATCACATTGGTGGCACATAGTCCTTCTGTGATCAGCTAATACAGCCAGGTCTTTCTCTTTCTTTGTCATTTCCAGCTGATGGACCCTCCGCTTATAGCAGAAATTCTTGGTAATAACCTTAAATGCATTGCCTTGCACTTTGTAAATAGTATTCCATTTCAAACATGCGTCTGACGAAGTGGGTATTCACCCACGAAAGCTTATGCTCCAATACGTCTGTTAGTCTATAAGGGCCACAGGACTTTTTGTTGCTTATTCCATTTCTATCACTCCAGTCCTCCAGGTTATCTGATTCTGTGTGATATTCCTGTTCTCCTCTGAATCCACAATGCCTTCCAACTTTGTATGCAGTGTTGTTGTAGCCGTGTTGGTCCGAGGATATAAGAGATGAGGTGGATGAAATAATATGTTTTATTGGACATCTGCCTTGTCTTTCCAACTGTGTGTCATCTGGAAATTTCATTAGCAAACTCCTGCTTTTTGGGCCAAGATCATTAATGAAAGTACTAAATAAAATCTTTGAGGATCTCCACTAGTAACCTGCCTCCAGCCAAAGAGTTCCCCTTTCAGCGCAACTTGTTGTCTCCACTTTAGCCAGCTCCTTACCAACATAACAGTCCTTGTAGCAATCCCCACTTGCTCGTACTTCTCTAGTAAAGGTAGAGTTGTCCAGAACAAAATATACAGTAGCTAAGATGATGTGAGATTATTTGGAGTAGAATGTTGAACTTAATTAAGAATTAGGGAAAATGATTAAGTAGAGAATCAAAATGTTGGGAATAAAATTCCTGTATGTGAAGCTGCAATAGATAAATTCCCCTTTGAAAGAAAAATTATTAAAATGATGAAGAAGAAATGTCAAACTCCAGAATTAAAGAAAAACTTTGAGAGAGCTGAACCGACATAGCACAGAATGTGAAAAGACGGTTATAACCATGTCGAACTTTGTGAGAATTATCGGAACAGACCTACGAAGACTTTAAATAGATTCTGTTTACAAGTCAGGAAGTTAAGAAAAGGCTTAAAGACGGGCTTTCATGAGTCTACATCGCCCTCTCCTGGACACATACAAATAGTTCTCCTCCTTCTGACCTGTCTTCAGAAAGATGCATCACCAGCCCGGTTGCTCCCTCAAAATGTGCAAGTATCCAACAGAATGGTGACAACATTCGCACCTGACCCGTTTTGGGTAGAACCCACCTCTCCCTCTGCACTTCAATGGGAAACAACACACATGTAAAGATTGGATCTACACAGCCAAAGCAAAGCATGGTGTCAAGTATCAGGGGGTAGCCGTGTTAGTCTGTATCTACAAAAACAACAAGGAGTCTGGTGGCACCTTAAAGACTAACTCTATGCATCCGAAGAAGTGAGGTTTTTACTCACGAAAGCTTATGCCCAAATAAATCTGTTAGTCTTTAAGATGCCACCAGACTCCTTGTTGTTAAAGCAAAGCAGTAACCATAGCAACCAGGGTACCAAAAATCAATGCTCCTGCCATGAAGAAACTGCCTTGAGTTCTGACGACGACGTGGGACGTGCTCACTTCTATCAGAGTGAATCACCTTAGCCTACGTCTAACACTTGGGAATCCTCTTTAACCACGTCCTTCCTGGACAAAATCCTTGGAGAAACTTGGGCCTATTCCTGCATTCCTACCCGAAACCCCGGCCTGGAGAAGGAGGTTACTTTCCTCAAGAAACAAAGACCTCGAGAAATCCATTGTTCTCAAACTATCATTGTCTCCAAACTGAATGGTGAGAGAGAACTATCCTGCTTCAATGGAGAGTGCGGTAATCACAGCGAGTTAAACTTCCAATGACAATTGTCAATACCATGAATTCTTTGATCAAACACCGTAGCCAGACTTCAGAGACACACACAGACATGGGCGGTGGGTGAACCACAGGCTCAGGGAGGCTGCCCCGGCCCACCCCTTCCACCTAGGGCCCTGTGCGGCCCCCCAACCCCGGAGCACAGGCGGGCAGCACATGGTCCTCCCCTCCTCTGTAGCCCTGGGCCACACAGCCCCAACGGGGGGTTCTCCCAGCACTGGGCAGCACGAGCCACCCCAAGTCGGGGCGGAGAGTGGGACTGGCCATGCAGGACAGTTTGGGGAGGCACAGCCTTCCCCTGCCTGTGCTATCTACAGCCCACGCACACAGACCAGTGTGCCCAGTGCCAGGGGCTGGTGCAGGGGGGTAGCTCATACCCTCAGGGCTGCCTTAACTTGTGCCCTGCTCCAGTGGTTCCTCTGGGCCATTGCAGAGATGTAAGAACGTCTCTGTCATGTCTCCTCCAACCCCTGGCGCTCCCCAGAACACCCCCGATACCCCCCTGTGCTGGGGTCTTGGAGAGGGGGCCCAGGAGCTCTCTGGGGTGGGGGTTTTATCCGAGTGACTGTACATTATAGGGCACCTTTGAACCTGGTCCTTTGTCCATCTCCCAACTAGTGTATCAAAATCTGCAGCTTCCCTGACTCACTTCCTTCCCCTCCAGTCTGGCACCAATGCTGCTGCGAAAGTCACCTCCCTCTGCTTCCTCTCCAGGCGCATTCTCTCCTCCTCAGTTCCCCTCACTGACTTCTGCTCTGTTCCCACGTCCAATCCAAGCGCTGTGGGCTAAGCCCCATTGCCCTGCATCGTGTCACTCACCCCAATGCAAAGGGGATGTAAAGCACTGGCCAGTGGAATGAAAGTGCTTCACCCCCCAGTGTGCACTGGTGTA